TGTGTGTGTGTGTGTGTGTGTGTGTGTGTGTGTGTGTGTGTGTGTGTGTGTGAATCTGTAGCCTCCACCGCCTGCTGGTCCTGAGACGCAGCATCACAGCCCCCTCGACATGTGGCACAGTAGGTGATTCTCTGAAAGTGATGGCATTCAATTAAAGGGAAAAAGGAGATTTAATGGTGGCATAGTGCCGTGGCGTGGCCTCTTACAAACGTGGGGGGGCTTTGATCGTGGAATCAGTGGGGGACAGCGGCTTGCCCTACTTCATGTAATGAGATCACCATGTAACAAGTGGCTAAGGGCTGCTCATGGAAAAGGAATAATCACATAGTCTAATATGAATGCAGGTGTCATGTAAGAAGATATGCATTTCATTAGCACCACATGTTGCCTTGTAAACCTGTCATTCTATTCTAAAATACTTTTATAGCTATAGGGATACAAAAACAGATCAACATATTTGTATTTTAGTGTAATTCCCTTGTTAATTATTATACTGCGCACGTTACCATCGTCCATCGACATTATATAAATGCAATAGTAGTTGCTTGTTACTGTGCGGCGGTTTCATAAGACATGCTTCGTTCTTCAGAAGATGTTGAGAGAACTTATGCGATCAGTCGTTCTAAAAGTGTCTTAATATTTCCACCAGGAGCCTCTAAGCTCCGCTCTAAGCATGCCATCCTGAATTATAAAGTGCCAGCTGCCACAGTTATAGGCCCCCCCATCGGTGGGCAGGGGTAGCCCCTCCTGCCTGCAACACCTGCCGCTCATCAGCTGACTCTCAGAGCTCCGGCCAGCCGGGTGGCGTCATGCGTGTTCGAGTAGATCCAAACCACTCGAGTTTTCGGAAGAAGTAACTCAACATATTTTAGCAAGGATTCGGGGGAAGTAAAATGAGTTTATACTTTAGACAAAGATTCAAAATCTTACTTATGCCAAGTAGGTTTTGAAATGCAGGGAATGTTCTTGTATTGGTGCATAATATAGACACAGAGGAAATTAAATACAAAGAAAATAAATCAAGATAACATCATGTAAAATAGAGAAAACCAATAGAAAGAGAAAGCTATAACATATGTACAATAAATATACATCAAAATAAATGATTTATAGAAGAACATTTTAATAAAAAATTGAAGTTTTACTATAGAAATAGTGCATTATTTCAGATATATATATATATATCAGAAGATAGATATTTTTTTAAATATGCAAAATCTTTCAAGTAATAAAGAGATTCTGCAAAATTGATATACAGTATGTGTTTATTAAACTAAAATATACAGATGTGAATGTGTGAATGTGAGGAGGGTCTAACTGTTGTATATTAGGTCTGTATCCTTTCTCATTACATGAGTTTGGAGTAGCCCGAGATAAAGGCTTTCATTGTATATGTCCTCTCTGAAAGGGATATCAAAACGATTCTTAGAAAAACATATTGTTAGTGACAGGCTTGTTTCCAGAGCGGGCTTTACTGCCATGCCTCAGAAGGATGATCAGCGGCAGGCGTCTGTTCGAGGGAACCGGCCTCGCTCAGTGACCCCTTAAATGTCCAGCTGAGGCTGATAAAAGGTCACAGGTCCAATGGAAAAATTCTCACGTAATTACAACTCGCGGAAGGTATGGTGTCAGTCACTACTGCCAGGATTCAGTGCCTGCAGCTAATAGCAGCGCTAATAACCACATAGCATTACTGTACGGTGATAGATGATGCAAAACTCTCTGGACTGAATGAGAACTTTTTGACGTTGTGATTTGAGTCACTTCTATTTTTGTGCTTACTGTAGTTTTAGTGCTGTGACAAATTCTGCATAGTATCAAGTAATCACAGCATCATGTTAGCAAATTGGTATGTCTGAAAATATGTCTTATTAAAACACAAGTGTACAAACCCTTTAGGACCACTGACTTTGTCATGAATGCACATTTTTAACAATAAAAAGACACTTTCGAAGTCGACACTTGCCAGATTTGGTGTTACCTCAGTGTTTCTGGTGGCTTCTTTGCTTGATTTTCTGACACTGCTGTAATGTGGCGGATAAATACAAGCTGCCAGACTATTTTGGCAACCTACACCGCTGTCTCGTCCTCTCC